ACCGCTTGACAAAGAGAAAGGTCAGGGCTCCACTGCGCCCCCTACTGTGCAGCCGTGGTAGTATCCCTCTGGAAGGTTCCCATCCTGACATGCTTCACTTGTATAGAGGGTTAAGGATGATGTCTCTTTGGATAAGACACACACACACCTGGCAGCCATACTGAAGTGCCTCTGTTCTGCAGGTCCAGGGTGTGGGTTTGAGCCTAGCAGTGTGGCTTTCTTTTTGGGGCTTTTTTGGGGCTGAACGAGTGATCGTGCAGCTAGTGGTGTGTGTGTGTTTGTGTGGGAATCTCCGTGTCTCTGTGTGTGCATCAGTGCCTATTCTTGTGTATGTCCATGCCTGTGCGTGTCTACGTCCGTGTCTGTGCGTGTGTATGTCCGTGTCTGTATGTCCGTGTTTGTGTACGTCTGTGTGTGTCCGTGTCTGTGTGTGTACGTCCCTGTCTGTGCCTGTGTACGTCCGTGTCTGTGTGTGTATGTCCCTGTCTGTGCCTGTGTACGTCCGTGTCTGTGTGTGTACGTCCCTGTCTGTGCCTGTGTACGTCCGTGTCTGTGTGTGTATGTCCGTGTTTGTGTACGTCTGTTTGTGTCCGTGTCTGTACGTCCATGTCTGTGCCTGTGTACGTCCCTGTCTGTGCCTGTGTACGTCCCTGTCTGTGTGTGTATGTCCGTTTCTGAGTGTGTATGTCTGTGTTTGTGTACGTCTGTTTGTGTCCGTGTCTGTACGTCCATGTCTGTGCCTGTGTACGTCCGTGTCTGTGCCTGTGTACGTCCGTGTCTGTGCGTGTACGTCCCTGTCTGTGCGTGTACGTCCCTGTCTGTGCGTGTACGTCCCTGTCTGTGCGTGTGTACGTCCGTGTTCCCAACTGACCAGGTTAAATTTCTATACATATCAAGTCGTAAACGTATTTATGTGTGAGTTCAGTGTCACATACATGAATAACAGTGATGATAGGAACTTAGTCCTTCCACAATGTATTTAATGGCGATTTTCTTCCCCTGTGGTTTGTATAGCGGGGGTGCTGCTGCTTTTGTCTTATGAGCTGCCTGGCCTCTTGCGCCCCCTGCAGGCGAGACCCTGCTGAGCCCGCTGGTGATGTGTGGCCCCCATGGCCTCAAGTTCCTGAAGCCCGTGGAGCTCCGGCTGCCGCACTGTGCCTCCATGACCCCCGACGGTTGGTCTTTCGCTCTAAAATCCTCTGACTCCTCGTCGGGTACGCTGTCCCCTTTTTCCCTTTTTTGGTGGGGCCTCTAGTGGGGGGGGGGGTGAAGAGTTTTCCCCATTGTTGTGCTGTTTATTTTGTATTATTTTTTAGTATTTTTAAAAAAGAACATAAGAAATTTACAAACGAGAGGAGGCCTTTCGGCCCATCAGGCTCGTTTGGGGAGAACTTAACTAATAGCTCAGAGTTGTTAAAATATTATCCAGCTCTGATTTAAAGGAACCCAGGGTTTTAGCTTCCGCTACACTAGCAGGAAGACTATTCCATACTCTAACTACACGCTGTGTAAAGAAGTGCTTCCTCAAATTTGTTTTAAAATGTTCTCCCGCATTACTGTAATTAGCACTTAGAATTAAAATTCACTGTAGTTATCTTTTTTGATTCACTTGATAGCCTATTTTTTAACCATATCAACAAGTAACATCATGTTCGTAATGTCAAAACTGAATTGCCTACATGCATCTGCTGTACGGTGCCTCTGCTCTCAGGGCCTCGAACCCGCTTATCAGCCTGGGGAGGGGCAGCCACCCCCCCTTAGCACTGGGAGTCACTGTGCTCTGCCTTAATGCGCTCGGCGTGAGGCAGAGCATTCTTTCTGTTCTCTCTGGACTCCACACGTCTCTCTTCAAATTTGGCTTTGAACTATGAAGCCACCTAATTTTAGTATCTGTTCCAGGGCCATGTGTCGGACTGGGAATTGCCCTAGCCGGGCTCCGCGCCGCTGCACGCGCTTTGGGTTTAGTATTCGCAGTAAATGCAAAAGACACTCTTCCCTCCATTTTGAGTGTCCGTGACAACAACGAAATGTGCCCAGAACCTCATTGTTTGCACGCAGGCAGATGAAGGGGTTCAGAAGGCAGGAGGGTGTCCAGTCGGATCGAGGAACTGGAAGCCAGAGTAAATTGTTCAGCGTCACAGTGGCGGGGTTCAGCGAGTAGGAAGCAGCGCCCCGACCCCGACATCAGTCTCGCTTCTGACTTGGGTCCTGTGGCCATTATAACAGGGCTTAGGATCTGTATTAAAGATGCAGTAGGGGGGCATCGTGAAGGCCGCACACATTCTTCCAAACCGTGACCCAGTTACAGGCTACAGCATATGCATAATCTAGCCATGCAGCTTTTAATTTAATAACCTCGTTTGTCATTAGTCAACATCAGTGGTCAGACTATAAAAGTCTGTAATTTTTGTTATCTTGTTTTAATTGATTGTTATTATTACTTTGTTAGTCTGTGAAATGTGTGAAGGACGTATCGCGGGCGCTGGGAGGGCGAGGTTGCTGTTTCCGTCTGCCGCGGCGACCTGCTCCTGCTTCTGATTCATCTCCCCTCCGATCCCTTCTAACAGGTGACCCCAAAAGCTGGCAAAACAAATCTATCCCCGGGGACCCCAGCTACCTGGTGGGTGCCAACTGTGTGTCCGTGCTCATCGACCACTTCTGAGGAAGGAAACAGCTGGTCTGTTACAGGACGGG